AGGCGTGGAGTTAAAAGATAAAGAATCACACACAAAGTGGGAGTTGTCAAGCTGCTCTTTGCTGATGACACTGTGCTCTTGGAGATCTGAAGAGAAGCTGCAGAGATTGGTGGATGAATTTGGTAGGGTGTGCAAAAGAAGAAAAATTAAAGGTGAATACAGGAAAGAGTAAGGTTATGAGGATAACAAAAAGATTAGGTGATGAAAGATTGAATATCAGATTGGAGGGAGAGAGTATGGAGGAGGTGAAACGTATTCAGATATTTGGGAGTGGACGTGTCAGCGGATGGGTCTATGAAAGATGAGGTGAATCATAGAATTGATGAGGGAAAAAGAGTGAGTGGTGCACTTAGGAGTCTGTGGAGACAAAGAACCTTTGTCCTTGGAGGCAAAGAGAGGGGAATGTATGAGAGTATAGTTTTACCAACGCTCTTATATGGGTGTGAAGCGTGGGTGATGAATGTTGCAGCGAGGAAAAGGGCTGGAGGCAGTGGAGATGTCATTTCTGAGGGCAATGTGTGGTGTGAATATAATGCAGAGAATTCGTAGTTTGGAAGTTAGGAGGAGGTGCGGGATTACCAAAACTGTTGTCCAGAGGGCTGAGGAAGGGTTGTTGAGGTGGTTGGGACATGTAGAGAGAATGGAGCGAAACAGAATGACTTCAAGAGTGTATCAGTCTGTAGTGGAAGGAAGGCGGGGTAGGGGTCGGCCTAGGAAGGGTTGAGGGAGGGGGTAAAGGAGGTTTTGTGTGCAAGGGGCTTGGACTTCCAGCAGGCATGCGTGAGCGTGTTTGATAGGAGTGAAATGGAGACAAATGGTTTTTAATACTTGACGTGCTGTTGGAGTGTGAGCAAAGTAACATTTATGAAGGGATTCAGGGAAACCGGCAGGCCGGACTTGAGTCCTGGAGATGGGAAGTACAGTGCCTGCACTCTGAAGGAGGGGTGTTAATGTTGCAGTTTAAAAACTGTAGTGTAAAGCACCCTTCTGGCAAGACAGTGATGGAGTGAATGATGGTGAAAGTTTTTCTTTTTCGGGCCACCCTGCCTTGGTGGGAATCGGCCAGTGTGATAATAAAAATAAAATAATACAGGAAAGAGTAAGGTTATGAGGATAACAAAAAGATTAGGTGATGAAAGATTGAATATCAGATTGGAGGGAGAGAGTATGGAGGAGGTGAATGTATTCAGATATTTGGGAGTGGACGTGTCAGGGGATGGGTCTATGAAAGATGAGGTGAATCATAGAATTGATGAGGGGAAAAGAGTGAGTGGTGCACTTAGGAGTCTGTGGAGACAAAGAACTTTGTCCTTGGAGGCAAAGAGGGGAATGTATGAGAGTATACTTTTACCAACGCTCTTATATGGGTGTGAAGCATGGGTGATGAATGTTGCAGCGAGGAGAAGGCTGGAGGCAGTGGAGATGTCATGTCTGAGGGCAATGTGTGGTGTGAATATAATGCAGAGAATTCGTAGTTTGGAAGTTAGGAGGAGGTGCGGGATTACCAAAACTGTTGTCCAGAGGGCTGAGGAAGGGTTTGTTGAGGTGGTTCGGACATGTAGAGAGAATGGAGCGAAACAGAATGACTTCAAGAGTGTATCAGTCTGTAGTGGAAGGAAGGCGGGGTAGGGGTCGGCCTTGGAAAGGTTGGGAGAGAGGGGTAAAGGAGGTTTTGTGTGCAAGGGGCTTGGACTTCCAGCAGGCATGCGTGAGCGTGTTTGATAGGAGTGAATGGAGACAAATGGTTTTTTAATACTTGACGTGCTGTTGGAGTGTGAGCAAAAGTAACATTTATGAAGGGGTTCAGGGAAACCGGCAGGCCGGACTTGATTCCTGGAGATGGGAAGTACAGTGCCTGCACTCTGAAGGAGGGGTGTTAATGTTGCAGTTTAAAAACTGTAGTGTAAAGCACCCTTCTGGCAAGACAGTGATGGAGTGAATGATGGTGAAAGTTTTTCTTTTTCGGGCCACCCTGCCTTGGTGGGAATCGGCCAGTGTGTTAATAAAAAAATAAATAAAAATAATTACAAAAATGTGTTTTGATTGGTTTTAGTACTGAAAATGGCTTAAAACTGAGCTCAAAGTAGCGGAAATTTTCAATTTTTGCTGATGTTCGAGAGTAAACAAATGACGTCACCCCTCCAATACACGTCAACTGGTGGGTCTACTATACATTCATGAATGTGCTGATATTATTTATACAATTATTACTATACTACATAATAGTAAATCTTCTATTTTTTGGTGTGAATAAAAATTCTTTATGTGAATAAAAAATCAAAATAGAATAAAGCCTGAAAACCTAACTAATAAACAGAGGAAATGTTATTTTAGTGCCAGGAATGCCTGCATTGTTTATTCTGGTCCCTATTTTGAAATTGGACCACATGTCCACAACACAAGACACAGATCTCTTTTTGATATACCTCGCGTCCATATCACACTGTGTAAAAACTCTATGCACATAAAGGGCCCCAAAATGTGGAATTTATTACCAGAAGATATTAAAGTAACCCAGTCTGAAAATCAATTTAAGACTTCTCAGAAGCCACTTAATCACCCTAGACTAAATGCTAAATACTCAGTACACACATACTCACTAATGTACTCCCACATCATAACTTCAACAATCACTTTGAACCTTTTATCCATTGTTGACAGGAATATAATTGAATCATTGTTTTCACAAAAAGCATTTTTGAATATATGAATATATCTTTTGTCTTATACAAATTAGATTCACTTATAATTAATAATCTACTGTACAACTATGAAATAATTACTATCCTACTGTGCAACTATGATATAATCCTTAGTGTTAAGTAGTCTGTAAGCAAATAATATTAAGTTGGCCCATAATGCCTAGGCATAATAGAGGCTCTCTTTGCATTGCAACCCACTATTGCAAATACAAAATCTCAATGTACTTCTTGCAAAGTATAAAACTGTCCAAATTACTAATTTCCAATCACTTTATTGGGTAGTTGAAATAGTTGCCTGAGTGATTTCTTGTGTTCAATCGATAAAATACAAGTAGTATACCAGCAAAATAGCTAAGAATTTGGTCGACTGGAGTAATGGGCAAAATTGCCGATGCATAAATATAGCTGATGCAGCAAAATTTGCGACAGCGTAATTTCGTGAGTTTTCCATCAAATTTTGTACTTTTTGTTTTATTACCTTCAGAAAAAGATTATCTACCATTTCATAAGAAATATAACATAAAAACTTTTTGAAAATTCTTGGACCCTGTGGACAAGTTTGGGATTAGAAGTCTGGACCCTGAAAGGGTTAACCCTTTCAGGGTCTAGACCCCCTGTTCCCAAACTTGCTCTCAAGGTCAAAAATTTTTCCAAAAAACAAAACAAAAAAAAAATTGTGAAATGATAGATAATTTTTTTTCTGAAGTTAATGAAATCAAAATTACAAAATTTGATGGAAAACTTACAGAATTATGCTCTCGCAGAGTTAGGGGTCTTGGTGATATTTATGCATCGGCAATTTCACCTACTTTGCACCCTATTTTTGGTCAATTCCACTGTTCCAGTCAACCAAACTCATGGCTATTTCTCTAGTATTTCTTCTATTGATTGAATACAAGAAATCTCCCATTTACCTATCTCAACTACCCAATAAAGTGATCAGATTTTTGGTAATTTGGCCAATTTCACACAAAATTCAAAAACTGCCAATTTAAAATTAGGGTCCGGAATAAACAATAGTAAATATAGACATTCCTAGAACTAAAAAAAAAATATTTCCTCTGTTCCTTAGTCACGTCTCCAGACCCCTCTCATATTATGCTTGCTTTCCATTTGGACCGGGACGCAGGGGCATTGATCCTCAGAATGCCCTCTAGGTAGGTAGATACAATAAATGGAAAATTTACTATTATGCTGACTACCACATTATTGTAATAGTTACATCAGTAATGTCAGTTCATTGGTTTCAGTCCTAAAACCAATCAAAATCATCTCTATTACTGTAATATATCTTCCATTCTGTAATGAGATCAAGACACTGAGAATACAACCATAAAAACCACAGGAAAAAACACTGCAAAGTCGCAGTTTTAAACCAAAAACTCAGGCTCAATTTTTTTTTCCTCATTCACTGCATGCTGCTTAGTTTATTATATGGTGCACACTTACTGCATTGACCCATTCTTTCATATCTAGGCCCAAATTTACCGCTCACAGCTTATCTGAGAGAGCTGAGCTCATCACGTAGTACTACGGCATGTCCAGTGAGCTCAAAGACATAGTACTACAGCACAGTCAGTGAGAGGGTTAAGTGCAGAACATGCTACATTTGAACATAGTAAATCAAGGACCTGCTGTATATTAATAGTTGGAGTCATAAAATAAATAAATGATTAAGTGTTAAGGAGATATGTGGGCTTAAAAGATAAAGTAAACCTTTGATATAGCGGACTACTGGGGATGATTGTCTGAGTGTCCGTTAAATCGAAATACGTATATGTAATGTTAATATAAATAAAAAAAAAAGTGCTGAAGTGCTCTATTTAATGCCTAATATAAAACTATATATACATTTCAGAGTTATACATATTTCAATAAACATTGAAAATAAAAATAATAATAAACAATTTACCCAGTGAAATTTGCCCATCATTTTAAAAGTCTGTTATATTGGGGTCCTTCATTTCGAGGGTTTACTGTAATGAGTTTGAAGCGGAAGGCATCACAGTTGCTCTTTGTTGGAGTTATTATTTTTTTTTTTTTTTTTTTAGACTGAAGAGAAGTTGCAATAATTGTTAAAGTTTGAGACTGTCATTTAATGAAGGAATGGCTTTACCGTATTTGCTTTTAAATAAAATTACACTATTACATCAAAATAGCTGTCATGTTTCTTGGATTTTTTTTTTTTTATCTGTATAAAAATTTTGGACACTGGGTCAGTCAGTGACTAACCTCAATGATGGATTGCCTAAACTGATTTTTTTTACTAAATTGTCATGGTGTTATTTTTCCAAACAGGTCTGTATATGAGAGAGCTCTGGATGTTGAACACAGAAATATTACATTATGGCTCAAATATGCTGAAATGGAGATGAGGAGCCGACAGGTGAGTTCTCTCTTATTCCATTTCTGAATTTTGAAAACAGCACAGATGTCTATTGTTCCACCTTATTGACTGACAAAGTTGTTTTGGGATAATTTTATGTAAAGTCATTTAGTTTTAATAAAATAATTCTATTAGTGGGATTGATTTGTGAAGAACCTGCATATCATGGGCCAACAGGCCTGCTGCAGTGTTCCTCCTTTCTTGTTCTTATGTTTTCTCTTAGCTATAGAAATATTGACTCTTGTTTTTAATTATATGCATGTTGTTTATAATGATTAAAATATTAAAAATATTTTATTTTTTTGTAGCCCCTTTAGCATTTTAAAGCATACTTAAATTACAACCATACTGCAGGTGAACCATGCTCGCAATGTGTGGGACAGAGCTGTCACCATCTTACCACGGGCAAACCAATTCTGGTACAAGTTCACTTATATGGAGGAAATGCTCAAGAATATAGCTGGCTGCAGACAGGTGAGATAACCAGTATTCATAATGTTATACAATACAGTACAATTCAGTAAATCATTTTTATTTCTTTATGCGGTACAATGTAGTTTATGTGCAATAAAACATTGATAGGCACAAAAGAAAACCACTAGTATGCAATGCATTTTGGCCAAACTAATCTTAATGCAATTTTATTGATAAATTTTATTTCTGTATTAAGGATAAATTATTTTAATTATATAATGGAAAAATGGTAATTTAAGTAAAGTGGAGATTTTTTATTTATTAAGTAATATCTAATGCAAAACTAATTGCCTTGTAAGTCATTCATTTTAAAATTGCCCTACTTTCCTCATGTTTTTGCATCACTTTTACCTCTCTGCATCTCCTATTGTCTTTGAAACTTTCCATATTATTCCATAATTTACAACCAACAGAGCAAATTACAGAAACATGCTCCCTTAGCTCAATATACAGATATTTGTAGAAAAAATGGAGGGAAAGGGCAAACTCTGTGGTGCCCAAGACACTATGTAATCCTAATGTGTGAACATGTGTGTATGTGTTAGATAGGAGTAGAGACAAATGGTTTTTCTGACATGACAAGCTGTTGGAGTGTGAGCAAAGTAATATTTTGTGAAGGGATTCAGGGAAATTGGTCGGTCGGACTTGAGTCCTGGAGGTGGGAAGTACAGTGCCTGTATTCTAAAGGAGGAGTTTAGGGTATTTGCTATTTAGAGGGACATTTAAACTACTATATCTGTGTGCCTCTGGCAAGACAGTGACAGCATGAATGGTGGTGAAAGTGCTTCTCTTCCAGGTTACCCTGCCTCGGTGGAAGACAGCCAGCTTGTTAAAAAAATTCCGTAATCAAATTTGAATGCTGTGAAAGTTAGTTATTTTCCTAAAAAATATTCAGTGGTATTTGTTGATGGTTTAGTAGATAGCTTCATTACTAGTGAAATCTTAAGTGTGACCTAGTCAGCAGCTTTGCTATCAGACTGATGTAATGTTCTTCTAATCTCATTGCCCTTATTACATTCACTGTCTGACACCATCTTACCTTGATGAGAAAAATTAACGTGAAAATTTATTTTTTTTGCTTAAAATCTTTAACCCTTTCACTGTCGGTGCCATAGTACTACGGCTTGCAAGCCCGTGTTGGTGCTGTAGTATTAAAGCAAAATTCTAGCGGCTTCAAATCTAGTGGGAGAAAGTTGGTAGACCTACATGTGAGAGAATGGGTCTGCGTGGTCAGTGTGCGCAGTATGAAAAAAAAATCCTGCAGCATGCAATGCATAACGAGAAAAAAAACTGATCGTGTTTTTAGTTTAAAGCGCCAATTTTAAGGTGTATTTTCGTATGGTATTTATGGTTGTATCTCGTTTTCTTGGTCTCATTTGATAGAATGGAAGATATACTACAGAAATAAAGGTGATTTTGATTGGTTTCACAATGAAAAGTACCTTGAAATTGAGCTCAAAGTAGCAGAAATGTTTGATTTTTGCTGATGTTCAGGAGTAAACAAATGACATCACCATCCAATACGTGTCCAACTGGCCAGTGTAATACACGGTCAGGAATGGGTTGACATTATTTATACAATTAGTACAATAATGCAGTAGCCTGCATAACAGTAAATCTTCTATTTTTTGTGTGAATAAAAATTCAAAATGGAAAGCAAGAGTAATATAAGAGGGGCCTGGAGACATGACTAATGAATAGAGAAAATGTTATTTTAGTGCCAGGAATGTCTGCATTATTTATTCTGGACTCTATTTTGAAATTGGCATATTTTTAAATTTGTGTGAAATTAGCCAAATTGCTAATTTCTGACCACTTTACCTATTTGAAATAGGTAAATTTACCTATTGAAATAGGTAAATGGGCAGTTTCTTTTACTCAGTCGATAGAACAAATGGAGTTCTAGAGAAATAGCTATGAGTATGGTCAACTGGAACAATGTAATTGGCCAAAAATAGGGCTCAAAGTGGGCAAAATCATTGATGTGTATATATCGCTGATGCGTATAGATCACAGAGACTACTAACTTCGTGAGAGGGTAATTCCATAAGTTTTCCATCAAATTTTGTAATTTTGGTGTCATTACCATTGGGAAAAGATTCTCTTATCATTTTATTAGAAAAAATAATTTTTATTTTTTTTTTTCCTGAAAATTCTTCGACACTGAGAGCAAGTTTGTGAGCAGGGGTCTCGACAGTGAAAGGGTTAATAGTACCAAAGACACAACTACCTTAAGTCCTTCTTTTATACAACATTCACTCAACATTGGGCTTTTTCAAGTACATAACAGACATGAGACACAATGATAAATGATAAAAGTGTGTTTCTAGAAAGTATGGTTTACACACATTTCAGAAAAAGATGACATTATGGACATACTTAATAGAAAACTCCTGGTTATGCAGAGTATTTTGGGCAACCTTAAAATAATCTTGTAACTTTTCATAACTTGTAACTAATGGTGTCTTAGGTAGCAGGTTATTAGACGGCAGCCTCCCAGCAAGGTACTGCCATCCTTGCATGTGAGTGTAAAATGGAAGCCTGTAATTGTTTTACATGATGGTAGGATTGCTGGTGTCTTTTTATCTGTTTCATAAGCATGCAAGATTTCAGGTACACCTTGCTACATCTACTTAGTCTTAGGTCATACTGCACATGCATGTACAAGCATATAGATGTACACATCCCTCTGGGTTTTCTTCTATTTTCTTACTGGTTCTTGTTCTTGTTTATTTCCTCTTATCTCCATGGGGAAGTGGAACAGAATTCTTCCTCTGTAAACCGTGCTTGTCGTAAAGGCGACTAACATGCCGGGAGCAAAGGGCTAGTATCCCCTTCTGTATACATTACTCAAGTTAAAAAAGAGAAACTTTTGTTTTTGGGCCACCCTGTTTTGGTGGGATATGGCCAGTTTGTTGAAAGGAGAACAACTAATACTGTAATTTTTGCAAGTAATTTGTTGGAGGTTTAAGTAAAACAATTTGCTATAATGTTTGTTAAGGTTATTGCAAATATTGGTCAGTTACAAATGCAACTACTGAATACATACTGTCTTGGGCAACACTTAGTCTTTACTATATTAAAATTTATTCAGTTAACTCAAAATACAAGATACAATAATGGTTTAAATAGTCCACAGGGAGTGACATCACTTGTTCAGGTGTCACATGCTTAGGTGTAGGTAAAACTACATGAGTGTGGAAGACACACTGCAGGACACCAACTGACCTATGTTCTGTTAACAATGCTTTGAAACTATATCCTCTGTGATAGTTAACAAAGTTGACATACCATTGTTTTATTTGATGATATTGGTTACTTTAATAACAAATGATTCCAGGCATCTTTTCATTTTGTTGTGTTTTTTGGTATAGTAGTTTAGCTTTATTCCACACTAAGAGGTGTGAATGTAAGTTGTGATGCTGTATGCAGGTGCTATTGGTATTGTCTATTCTAAGAGCATTCTGTTCAAGTAGATGGATTGGTAGATGTCTAACTGTTTCCTCAATGTATACATGATCACAGTTGAATTCTGTACACTCCTGCTCCCTTGGATTTGACATATAGGACTCAACGAGAACCACAGTAATATATACCAGTCTTAAGGATGCAGGATTGTGTAGAATTCTGCAATGTGGTTGTGATCAGGTATACATTGGTAAGACAACCAGAAATCTGCAAGTCAGTCTACAGGAACACCGTTATTGCTCTTAGAATATACAACACTAGTAAAGTCTGTGTACAGCATCACAACTTACATTCAGCTTATGACATGATTTACATTACTAAGAAAATGATGTGTTTACTTTATTAACTATCACAGAGCATATTGTTTTAAACATAGTTAACTGAAGGATTCAATGATTATGTGGAGTAAAATAAAGATTGGATGTGAAAAGTGGATTATAGTAAGTGTGTATGCACCTGGAGAAGAGAGAAGTGTAGAGGAGAGAGAGAGATTTTGGGAAATGTTGAGTGAATGCATGGGGAGTTTTGAATCAAGTGTGAGAGTAATGGTGGTTGGGGATTTCAATGCTAAAGTGGGTAAAAATGTTTTGGGGGGGAGTAGTAGGTATATTTGGGGTGCCAGGGGTAAATGTAAATGGGGAGCCTTTAATTGAGCTATGTGTAGAAAGAGGTTTGGTAATAAGTAATACATATTTTATGAAAAAGAGGTTAAATAAATATACAAGGTATGATGCAGCACATAATGAAAGTAGTTTGTTAGATTATGTATTGGTGGATAAAAGGTTGATGGGTAGGCTCCAGGATGTACATGTTTATAGAGGGGCAACTGATATATCGGATCATTATTCAGTTGTAGCTACAGTTAGAGTAAGAGGTAGATGGGAAAAGAGGAAGGTGGCAACAACAAGTAAGAGGGAGGTGAAAGTGTATAAACTAAGGGAGGAGGAAGTTCAGGTGAGATATAAGCGACTATTGGCAGAAAGGTGGGCTAGTGCAAAGATGAGTAGTGGGGGGGTTGAAGAGGGTTGGAATAGTTTTAAAAATGCAGTATTAGAATGTGGGGCAGAAGTTTGTGGTTATAGGAGGGTGGGGGCAGGAGGAAAGAGGAGTGATTGGTGGAATGATGAAGTAAAGGGTGTGATAAAAGAGAAAAAGGTAGCTTATGAGAGGTTTTTACAAAGCAGAAGTGTTATAAGAAGAGCAGAGTATATGGAGAGTAAAAGAAAGGTGAAAGAGAGTGGTGAGAGAGTGCAAAAGGAGAGCAGATGATAGAGTGGAAGAGGCACTGTCAAGAAATTTTAATGAAAATAAAAAAAAAATTTTGGAGTGAGTTAAGCAAGTTAAGAAAGCCTAGGGAAAGTATGGATTTGTCAATTAAAAAAAGAGTAGGGGAGTTAGTAGATGGGGAGAGGGAGGTATTAGGTAGATGGCGAGAATATTTTGAGGAACTTCTAAATGTTGAGGAAGAAAGGGAGGCTGTAATTTCATGCACTGGCCAGGGAGGTATACCATCTTTTAGGAGTGAAGAAGAG